CTTGCACAAAATAACTTTATTTTAACAAATTTCATTTGTGTGATCTTGAACAAAGGTCAAGTTCAGCAATGTTAACCAAACTTATACAAATTGACATGCACAACCACCTTGTCAAATAGCAAGACCTACAGACTTTTGATTATTAAGCTTTCACTATTAAAAAAAAAAAAGAAAAAAGAAATCAATATTTCTTGGTTTTTTAAGCAAATATGTAAAATGACAAATATATCAGTTTTTCTTAATTTTTCCAAGAAACTTCCTTTTGAAAGAAATCATCTGTGGCCAACTGTAAAGCAAGTATGAAAAATAGACCGGTTTCGGAAGTATGAAATTTGAAGTGTACAAAACAGTACTTTTCTCAAAAGTAATGGCTTTTTAAATGAATTTCGGCTGCATTTTTCAACATAAAACAAACGTTTCTCCTAACAAAGTGTGATATATGGTATCAAAATGTTGTTTGGTACAATGTGCACACATTAATGGCTTAATTTGCTCTCTAACTTCTTTTATGGTCTCCGAGTGAATCTTTCCTTTGTACTGAAGTTTCTAAAAAGAGACTCCGCCTCAAAATGACCATGTATGTTCAAGGGACAATAAACCCATTAAACAAATTGAACAAAACCAATAGTTTCAGAATTAATTGAAATATTTGACAAGTGAAAACAATAATATTACCTTTCAGGATGTTGATCAGGCTAAAAGAATTTACGGAAACTGGATATTCATGACGAACTAGAAACCGAGAACAACTGAAATTGAAATGAAGGCTCCACTCAATTGTAGAAAAAGAAAACACGAAGAGCGGATTAATTAACATAAAATCCCTAAAGATTTCAAAACTGTATCATAGTACTACACTGTCTGCTTAAGAACAGCGAGTGCTTAATAGCATTTTGTAACGTTCATAGTGGTATGAAGTCAACTGTAGCGCGACACGTCACATGTTAGTGCCCCAATAGGTGTTACATGCATCACTTGTTAGCCCTGATGGCATTATGATCAATTCTTATTTTACATGGTTTCATTTTTTATTGTAGTTTTTGTTAGTATATTAGGCTATGTAACTACAGCTATAGTTTCTGTAAATTAGTAGTCGAACTCATGACCAGCCTTTACAATGACATTTAATATGTTTTGATAATAATAGATTAGTAAACGATTTGTGCATCATAAGGATACAAAAATAAGGCAAAAATCTTGATCATCACGGTTGATATAACCGGCCCTGTTCTGGTTCTCGCACTTTCAATGACTACACCGACACCTTCATCAGACAAATGGCTAGTTAGTATACGAGATGGTGAAGAACGACTTTTTCTCCTCTGACAAGATAGTAAAAGAAGATGGTTACAATGTTCTATAGTCGATTCGGCTACACCTCGTTTAACACTTGGTGATAGATGTGCGAGAGTCTGTGCCCCTTCTCGTTCCTGTTTAATACTGGCCTGCCACGACTTGTCAAGACCAGGCCAACTTCTGGTGTAATTTGAAAGTTAAGGTATTGAAATGTGTATGTCTTTTCTTACAAACCCATGTTTTTAAAGTACCGTCAGTTTTCTTTGCCAGAATGGTGTCAAAGAATCGCATAGTGCCGATTTACAAGTGAATTTAATGTTTGTAGTATCTAGGGTACTGATATGCGCAGTCATGTCCTTCTGTGACACTTTTTTGACTATTTCCAATATGTTATCTTGCATTCTACAAAGGCTGTTGCTATAACCTTCAGGAGTAAGTTGGCCAAAATCGGATACATTGGACTGCCTATGGCTTTGGCAGATCATTGCTTATAGATGGTATCTAGGAACACAAAACGTGATGTTGAAATCACAAATTCTAGATGTCTTTAGGAGGCAACAAATGATACCAAATGCTTTGTTAGAGGTTATGTTGGTGAAAAGGGACGCTACATCGTGTGAAATGAATTCCTGACTTGTTTTGGAGACCTTAGATATACGTTCTGCAAGGACTTTTCGAGTGTTTTATATGGTGTTATGATGGATCCTAGAATGTCTACTAGTGACCTGAGATATTATAACCATTGGAACCAGTAAAACCCACTATGGGCCGTAAAGGGTTGCCTTCTTGATGTTGATTGTACATTACATTCTTGGAATATACAGATATGTATATCGTGATTCAGTGATCTCCTTTTCTGGCTTTAGTTTATATAAAATAGATAACAGGAATGTTAAAGCTTTGGTAGAATTGTTCTTGATATTTCCATATGTTTTGTTGTTTTCTAGCATGGTCACCGCTTCTTTCTTATATTGACGAGCGTCCATGTCGGCTTTGGCTGTTTCTCTGTGTCTGCTGGTGAAATCGTGATAGATATTCTTTGATAAATTGTTCAAGTGCAAAGCGTTCATTCTTTGATATATTGTTTACTTGTAATTTAAAGGATTTAAGACATCTGTTGCAATTGATCTCATCGATCAGCCTCGGTTTAACTCATGTTCTGACACGCCTGTTCTGTAGCTTCAATGAACAATATCTACTTGGATTTTGTGTGAACGATGTCATTATTCAAACCATAAGTTTGTAGATCTGTAAACTGTATTTTAGAGTTGGTAATCACATGTAACAACTTGTCTCACTTGGTTAAATTCAAATACCTATCTGTTTTTGTGGTCTCCCTGTCTCTCATACATTTACAACCACGTAGTAAACAAAACATAGCCGGGTCAGCTACAAAGTATTGTTACTATCTTGTGTACTTTTCATATAATCTTTTTACCATCTTGTCACAGTATGTTCTATAATGGTGTATATCAATTAGAATACAAGTCGGTCGACTCCTTACCAGCTCATACACTAATACCTTTCACACTGGTCATTTGTTTGATTAAGGTAATCATGTAGTCATTGAAATCTCACACTTAATGAGTGAAACGAAGGGATGTAACTCTCGAAGATTAAAACAGGGTTTTCCAAAACACCTAATATTTGCAGGTGAATGTTTGAAGGCGCAGTCATAAAATAAGTTTGTTAGCGTAATCCACTCTCAGGATAGCTGTATGCCCGTATACTATTTCAAAACATATTTTTAAGCAATTCAACTATTCAACATTATTGCACTGATGATAGGACCAATCCATCTCCCGTGACATCAACCCCTCCCCTTCCCTCAGAAGTAAACATTATCTTTAACATATCTTAACATATTCCAAATCCGATTATGATACAATATACACCACGTGACTATACCGTTACATGATGTACATATAAAACGAATCAGGTTACGTTCAACTCTATAATCACTTAAGGATTTCTCGACTTGGTATATACAAAACCAGAGTAAGTATAACACAAGATTTTTTTGTTTCTAAGGTATGCGTGTTTTTCTGAAGAAGCATGTTTTTGAAGATTAAGCAATACGAATGTTTTATATAAAACGTAATTGGGACGGAAAACCAATATTTTTTTTAATCTGAATAAAAACTTAAATGTAACAAATAATATATACGCATTTACAAACTCTGTTAAAGGTAGATTATAGCTTTAACAAATCCTACCTCTTAAAGATATCCAGATAGGTTTCGCATATAAACGATTGCATATTGAACATTTACGATATAATGTATGTGTATAGACTAGTCATGTTTGATGTTGATTGTAGCAATACAATGCTGTGTTTCATTCGAAAAAATAACAAAATCGGTCTTTACTAATCGGAAGTATTTTGTATTTTGATTTTGTATGTTGTGATGACACCTTGAGATGCAATAACATAACTATTTCTACCGCTTGAACCCTTAATTCTGCCGACGCGGGAGTTTGGAGTCACATGACCTGTTCTATACAAGGGATGCTAAACGCTGAAATAGCTCTATTTCCATAAACGACGTAACCCTGCAGCAGATAATTAGGCTGGTTAATGTCAACACAGGTCTAATATCAGGAATTCCGATCACATATCTTTAAATATCGCGAGAATACTTAAACCTGAAGTAGCTGGTTATGCAGGATATGTCGTTATTCTCTTACATATGTAAGACGACTTCCAACAGCCTGAGGACAACATCTTCTCTACACTATGGCAGGGTGTTGAACCTTGCTCGCGCTTAGAAAAATCAAAGGTGCACAAAGTCCTTCTATGGGAGTTGCTATTTGAGGATGACACCGTACTCGCTGCACACACAGAGGAAGCCCTTCATCGTCTCATCAACCACTCGCAAATGCTTGTACTGAATTCAACATCTGTCCTAAGAAAACCAATACTAAGTTGTACCAACCTTTTATGTGGTGTATCTTACTCTACGACAGCTAAATAAATAAATGAACTTTCGACAATAACGCTGCTTGAACGCCTTCCTTAGAAGACTCTTCGGCATTACCTTTCAGGACCGCACCATCAACAATGATGTCCTGGCCCAGAATGTAACTATGTTCACCATTCTCACCCAGTGACGCCTGCGGTGATTCAGTAATGTCTGTCGCATAGATGATGTCCGAATCCCAGAAGTTTTGTTTGCCGAATTGTCTGGGAATAAGACCTGTTATACAGCCTGCATTTCGTGATAAAATGAGCGCCCTGAGAGCAGGCACCACAAAAGCAGCAGTTTCCGAAGTAGACAACTGGGAAGCAACGTGATTTCCAGCGTCAATAAAGCCGAGCTGAAGAGAAAAACTAAGTTGGAAGACCGACAGCTGAGAAGGCAGTAAAAATACAGTCAGTGTCCACTGCTGCTCCATCTGAAGAGATCACCTGCGGCAGATCATGCTACTCAAGGATTGGGCTATACATCCACAACAGTCAGTGTAAGAACACAGGCTAACTCCAGGCAAAGCTTCCAAAGCCCTTGAGTCTGACGACGAATGCCAACAGCAATATGTTAGCTGCTAAAATTCTGGAAAAACAAGGAATAGTGTTAACGTTATATAAATCCATGATAAATAACTTCTATGTAAGTGTTATTATCAAGTTCACCTCAGCCTTAAAGGTGATTCATAGTCTTTATGTGTCATGTTTGATATTTTAAAACTTTTTGCAGCAGTCGAGAATGTTGGGTGTCGCCATCTTTTTAGTGGCCGGTTTATTGCTGTCTTTCATGCCAGCGAGCAATGGCTGTTCCTGCGTCTTCAGACATCCACAACAAGTTGTCTGCGAATCTGATTTCGGTACGTAAAAATAAAGATCAACATTTTGTCCTTTAAACGAACTCTCAAAAACACAAAGCACATCTGTATAAAGAGAGTAAAGCCCTACCGCAATATATGATACGTAGAATTTCTTTGATTGTAACAAATATTAAAGGTAGATATTCGTAAAAAGTTCAGTACTTTTGTTATTCTGTGTTTTTTTCCTATTATATTAGTTCAGTATATCTATCATAACTATTTGTTTGATGTCCAGTATTTATTTTGCAAATTTTGACCACTGTTTTTCATTTGTTTGTTTAAGTTATCAAAGGAATTCAAGTCGGATCAAAAGGCGTCCCGATTCCTGGCAGCATCCCACCTTTTGGCGGTGATGTTGTTTACGATATATTGGTTAAATATGTCATCAAGGTACGACGTCAGATTTATTCCTTTTCCATGTATCCATATGGATATGATTCAATTCACCTACAGACATATTCTTATTAGGTGGCTCCAGTAAATTGTGTCAGTACTTCAGTAGTGGACATTAACTCCAATAGAAATTACGCATATTTCTGACTACAAAATATGTTTAATAAAATTCTTGCTAGTGAAATTTAGGAATTAATCAATGTGATAAACGTTTAGTGATAAAATACGAAACCTGATAACATCATTAGTAATGATAATTGATGATATACCTTTTCTAGTGAAAATAAAAACACTTTTGTAGTTTTGACCAATTAGAGAAATGCCTGCTGTACTTTTTTTCGTACTCACCGCTAGATTTCGCGTCGTAAATAAAACAACATGTCATTATATATGTACACAATTATACATTATTGGTGGGTTTATGGGAACATTTCCACTTACCATTTCATGTATTTTGACTGTTCAAAACATATGCGATTGTTTCAAACATACCATCGACATGTGCGTTATTTTTAACATCATATCAACGATGGGAACTTGGCTAAGTTATTTGAAACGTTATCTAAACATGTAAATAGTTGTTGAACCTGAAATGTACTGTTTCCTCGTGACTTTCAATACATTAACCATCGCGATTGCTCTTTGATTAGAGAAGTTGTATGTTAGAAGATGTCTACATATGCTGCAGCAAATCAGGCAACGATTAGGTTGGTTTTCCATTTCAAATCTTTCGGTGTACCCTTCCCTAATTTAGTATTGAAAAACAGTTTGTAGGTGATTTTTGTCAGATGATACTGTAAACTGGTAGAATACTTCATAAAGCTGCCATTGCATAATAGCGACGTCTTATTGCTAAGCGTAAAGTTAAATAATCAGACCAATCTCTACTAGAGTTGTCGTTTCTTATTGTCACAATAACAATGGATCTATTGGAGAAAATATACACGTGTACTTGCCTTATTTATGTTCATTTTTTCGTTCGTGTTTTTTGCCACTTGTCCTGTCTATTTCAGTCAAAAAATAAATAATTTATTGGCTGTATTAAGACATTATCAATGCTATTCAATTTATTGGCTGTATTAAGACATTATCAATGCTATTCATTGTAGGGTGAAGGGATAAAAGTCGGAGATACTATCAAAGTCAGGACAGGCTCGAGCAGTGCCGCTTGTGGTGTGAGCATAACCGCTGGGGCCCTATGGTTATTAACAGGCATGTAATATAGATACAACTACACGGTTGACAAATGTTAATTATAGTATACAGTTATAGAGGATTTTAGATCAGTTAGATTTAATTTACATTAATACATATACGTTAAGCACCCGAAGATATTCATGATTAAGGGATAACCAGAGTGTGTTTTGATAGCGCCGGCAATTTGTCGTGCTTATAATTTCGCATTCTTTTTTAACATAGTAAAATTGATATTTTCAGATATGTAACAAGATATCCCTCCGCAAAAAAAAAAAAAAAAAAACATAAACATGCAACAAGGTTATTCCAAATGTAATTTATATCATTTTCAACAAGAAAACACGTGATAATAAGAATTACCTTGCTCACGATTCTTTGCCTGTTGGTTCCGTTGTCGTATACCTTGTTCGCATTTGAGAAAGCGACACTATTTATCTTGACATATCAAGGTTACATGGCGGTGTCGTCGATGAACCAGAATACGTTTACTCTTCCGATACACCTGGTCCGCGAGTAAATCTTTCTTTTATTCATATTTTGCCATACATGTATTGAATTTGAGTTTGGATTATGATTATGTTGACATGTTGGTATTTTTTTCATAACTTGTCGGGGTAAATGACATAATAAACAATCAACAAATCATTTAATAGACAAATCAGATATGTAACATCTCAAATGAAACGGAACATATATGAATCTCAAAAAGCAGCTGTTGTTTATAATGTGTATAGATGTTCTTTTAAACAAAACTATTAAATTGTGGGGCTCGTGCATCTCCAAAATATGGACTTTTTACGATCAGTTTTGACTTTCCTCAATCGCCTTCTAACGAATTTCGGTTATTACCAATTATTGTTAACAATAATTTTATATTGAAATTCACACGCAATATTACTTATATTCTGTGTTGATAGAGGATAACGTTTTCAAACGTATTCAGATATCTCTCAGAAAGTGAGTGACATTGTAATTATCATATAGAGTTTCCTAACAACTGAAATTGGTTTTAATGCTATATGCAGGTTTCCTAAAATGACATCATCTAGGTGGTAATGAAGAAGTTTCTAGGTGGATGGCTGTTGTGTATAATGTTATATTGCAGTTTTCTTGGAGAATGTTTTTTTTTTGTGATATCATATAGCAGTATTCTTGACGGGTTGACGTTGTTCACTATACTAAACTGATTGTCACAAAGCGTGTCATTTAGTTAAATAAAAAACAAAATTGTAAATTAAAACGTTCCCAACAGTAACAGTTGTTTATAATTATTTAGATTATTTCTAAAGCTACAAAATATTTAACCAAAACAATCACAGTAAATATTTCCTTTCTTTGTCCTAAGTATTATTTGTAGTTCGGTCAGAATATTGGCTGTTTCTCATTATTATTTTACTTTATTTGTTGCAGGGAGAAAAACGGTAAGCGGGGATATCCCTTATTCTATCAGTTCATGTGACTGGAATACGGAATGCTCCAACCTTACTCCACAGCAGATATCTTTCCTTCGTCCAAAAGGCCGAAAATCGTATTTCGGACGAAAAGACAATTGCAAGAATTGTAAAGTACGTTATGTTTAGTTTTATGTTACAAATAATTTTATCAGAGTCAGCATGACTATCCAACAAAGATATATAACCCTATAATCTCACTTTATATTTTATTTTTACTTATATTTTCATCTACTAATTCATAATAAATACATTCCTTCTTCAGAACAGTTTGAAGTAAACATATTCGACCGGTTCTACATTACACTAATTTTATACTCTGTAACAAATGAAATTTATTTGCTCTTTTTAGTTTATTACTTGTTTACTGACGTTGTTTCGCTACATACAAAAATCTTCAATAGTCAATCTGTCTTTATTTTACCAGATTGAGAGGTGTCCAGATAATGACTGCAGTAAACCGGCAGCTGGGCAGTGCCTAACTGATGCAAAACCGTGTTATGCACAAACTCTCAAGTGCCAATACACAGGAAAGCGTTGCCGATGGAGGAAAAGGAAAGATGCGAAAAAATGCTTCAAAAGCTTAAATTAAACAAGAGAATTATTGAAAATATGAATGTAAAAGTTTAATTAACAAGCGTTATTAAAGTCAACACCCATCTTTATGTTATATATTCACTCTTAGTTCGGGATTTTAAATCTGTGAATTAATTTAGAAATTGTGGACCCTGGAAGTTGAAATCTAGACATACAATGATATATATTAATTCAGGTAGGACAACATTTTCAGGTACGTGTTACAGAAAACTACAAGCGTATTCCAGTAAATTTGTCTCCTAGCCGTAGTTCCCCACAGATCTTCACAGATAGATGTGGTCAAGCTGGAATGGCAATTTATAAATAATTCCAAAGGTTAGGCTACGGGAAAGTTTTCTCAAACAAACCTTTATGTTGAAATCTTTCCACTAGCTGTCAAATCAAGGCTACGGTCTGTAATGAAAACCTCAAAGAACTTTTGACTTGAAGAACATTTGATTTTTTCAAGTTTTGACATAGCAAATAGAGCGAACTGTGTTTCTCTTTTGGTAGGATTGATTTATGTTTCCTTAAGAGCCTGGAGATATGTTAATCAAAGAGCTTATCAAATCAGGACAAAAGTATCCTGCCAACACCTTTGTTTCACTGTTAGATAATATTTTATAATTTCTAGTGTTAATGTTTGGCCGTAATGTCTAGTATTCAAATAGCAAGAAATGCATCTACCATGTCCATTATTGTATGCTCATCAGAGATGGTAGTGTATAACACGACAGACTTTTCTATTCAATCGTCTACCCCAGTCTATTACTACAATGGAACCAATAGGGCAGATTATATGGAAGTTTTTTTTTGTCGTCAGAATGATCTTATCGGAAAATATTCGATTTCTTTTCTTGTACAATATATAGTTGGACGTATTTGATGCTCACGCGTATGCCCGGTGGGTCAGTTGTTGGTAATCTTCATTTGGGAACGTGTCATAATTCAATTAAATTGATCAAAGTGTACGTGACAGGTATACTTTGTCAATATTTTGAACTATAATAATGGATTTTGAATTCGAATTCAGTGTCTGTTAACATGAAAGTAAATCATCTCTTTAATATTTTGGAAAGGGGGTGCATGCTCTAGCATCTTTCAAATTAAATGTACAACCAACCTGGCATTTGCATGGCATCATGGTTCCATAATCAAAATGATTTCTCTGACACAGTTAACAGGATATCAAGTTTTTTTTACTATATCACATTAACCTATATATTTAGCATATCGTGTTTTTTAAAAATAACCCATATATCTGTTTTGTTAATATAGTAAATGAAAGAGGTGTGTCAATATATCAATTTTAGTGACGTCTCAATAGTACAATTTCAACAAAAAACATGAACTCTTAAAAGAATGCGGAAATGGAGAACTTTAATGTTGTCGGTGTGTCTATTTATATTTCAAATCACAACAATTCTGCTCGTCCAGAATCTTTGATAACAGAAAGTCTTTAGATGCATCAATTATCTTCAACACATTGCTTCAATGATCTACTCTTAAACCATTTACATTCCGGTGCACAGCCCTCCTTCTGGACCTCTACACAGGTAGCATACCGGCAAAAACAAATGTCAGCGGAAGCGGGATCCGCCACGCACTTTCCTTCCCCAGTCTGTGAAGAACAACGGTTAGGCAAACTTCTCACAAAGTGAGCAGAACAGATATAAATACGTAAGAGAAAATAAAAATGATAATAAAATAAGGAAATGCATCTAGAAGTTCGTTGTCAGATTATCGCTTGACTCCTACAAGACTGTCTATCATATTCTCAGTTTCTGTTTTTCCCCCCAATATCCTCGAATTCATAATTATATCCGTTAGGTTTGTCATTTTTTCAAGAAATGCTGCGAAAATTTCTGTCATAAATTTAACTTGTCAGTGTATTGAGGTTACAGTTATCAGCATTAAAATCAGTTAAGAATATAGATATTGAACTGAGTCGATGAAACAGCCATTTTGACGTTATACCATTGCCGTCGATATGAATGCTAATTTGGCGTCATAAGGGACATGTGATTTCCAAATGACTAAATATGGTGTTTAAATCGTTAGTTAATTTATCAATTATTCATACATTTAATAAACATAACAGAACGTATTTTTTCATCCCTCTTTGATTCACATAACTAGAGATTTCTCGTGCCTAATTTTTCTTCATGACAACAAATTTTACATGTCAACTGGAGCTTACCGGACATTGACAATTTTTCTCATATCGCTTATTTAATCCTATCTTCATGTGTGGTGTAACTTCATCCCATGGAATATTTAGACCACACTCATCTATTTTCAGTTTTCCATCTTCTTCAAAGCCTGGAAATGTGTAATTAATTTAATGTACAAGTGTATAATATGAACTTTTTAAATGTACCATTATTTATTGCTATTATAAACTAGTTTATAATAATGATAATATAATATTTACTTATAAATCAATGAAATATACTGACCGCTTATCAAATATGTTTCATCCACATTAAGTTCTACACCGCAAGGTTGTGGTTCTTTCAATGTGATCAGAGTAAAGAAGCATCCAGCTGTTGCATTACTCTGTAAATAGGAAAACATGTTGATACATTTATGTAACTGACCGGGAACAATCATGTCAATATTTTCTGTAATAATCTTGAATTAACATTTTATATTTCTCCTTTCAAAAGATATAGTGCAACGTTATCGAGAAATAAAAGGAAACCTATGTAATAATATCATAAATGATGCTGATATAATGTATTTTTATTGGATAGCTTTCATCTTATCACCGGTTTATTACTGAATTCCCAATATGTTGTTATATACACTTGTCATCGATATAAAAATTACAAAATTTATTGAATCATTGGGCTAGTGCACCTTCCTATATAGACTTTGACTTTTCTTTCGATCACTTTGGACCTTCCTCAATCACCTCTTAAACTTCAGTGATAGTGCTAGATGGGCGAAACAGCTGTATGATGCAGTTAGATTATTTTTTGGCTCTGCTGTATCCAACTCTAAATTTGTACTGAAATATGCTATTCAATTGTGTGTCTTTTGTAATATCATCATGGTAATCATGACTTGCGACAATCGTTCATGTTCAGACAGAAAATCGACGTTGACATCGCAGACATTTTCATAACAACAGGACATAATCTGACATTAAATTGTTCTGCGAACGGCGATGCCAATTTTTTTTTCTTCTAAAATTGCTACTTGATAAATCCTGTGCCGGCAGAATACAAATGTCGAGAAATATAACAGATTAAATTTCAATCCACCAGATCAACTCAATCGACCATTTGTCGGTAATATCAGGATATCTAGAAATACGACAGATTAATTCTCAATCTACCTGAACAACTATAGCCTGCTACAATGACCCAACATAAAGTCAATTCTTTTGTGGAAAAATCTGTAACGAATGATATATAAAATTCATTCATCTGAAAAAAATGTGCTGTCCACCTCCGCGATGTCGGCTGTTGTATCGATCTACCTACGTTACTTAACAGTTATGTTTGCCGCTCACTGAAAGACGTGATAAATTTCACGTACAACTTTTATTTTCATAATGCGAGGGGACGACGATGTGTACATTAATAAAACATTGAACATCTAAACAGGTCTGAAAATTTTCCAAATATAGTTAAAGAAGTATAAACAATTTAGAAATGTGTTGAAAATCAACAACAGAAATCCAATAGTTATTTCGCAAAGCAAGAATTACAAATATAGTAAAAGTATAAACAATTTAGAAATGTGTTGAAAATCAACAACAGAAATCCAATGGTTATTTCGCAAAGCAAGAATTACGTCCGTTCTCTTACTGTGTCAGGTAAATGTCATAGGATAAAATATACTAGTGTTATGTAAATGATAAAATATTCTTGCTTAATCTTGTTAATCCCAATGGCCAATCAAATGTCGCCTGAATGAGATGTAATTATCGACAGACAAGTACTATTTAATATACAGTAATTTTGGAAAAAAATAGAACCTTGATTTTCTATATGTTTTCATATGAAAGATAAAAGGAAAATAATATAGATATTCATACCGCCAGGCTCTCTACGACACATGTTGCTTCTACAGTAGGAACTGGCGGCTCCTAAAAACGTAAAGCACATCATCAGTATCAGAAAATAGAATTATAAATTGCAATTTGTCCAGTTAAGGTAAAACTAGATAAGAGTATGTTAGTTCCATGGCTTACCCAGTAGAAATGATGGGTATAGTCAACTTCATTGAAAAGAAGGGAAGAGATAAGAAGAAAAATCTTCAATTAGGGTTGGAGTTATTTACAACGTATGGAAATATTCGCAACTGTTTAAATTTTGTTGAATTCCTTTCAGACATCTTTCTGTATATCGCACAACAATGACGAATTTAAATTTGAACAGATCTTAAAAGAAATTTCTTATGTTTTAGTCTAAACAATACCACAGAGGGAAATAATTTTTTTTTTTTAAATATTATATTTGATTTCGTTTTGTATTTGTTAAAATGATTCACATTCGTTTACCTTTTTGAGCATTTTGACATATACAACCTCACAGTAAACGTCAAATGGGTATGATTTTATAAGTGAATATAATACGATTAAAATTAAATTATTTACATACCTTGAATACCTTGTCAATGGAGATGCTGTACTGTGTTGTTGGATCATCTTCAGGGGTTTCAGGATCATCTCCTACCATTGTCATATCAGTAATAGAAGCTTTGATCACTGTCAAATGACAAAATAAAAAAAATGACAGTGTCACAGTTATTAAAAAGCCAAATTTCATAAAATGTTTGGCAGATATACTGATGAACTATTTAATACCGTAACAAGGAAACTAATTATGGAATTCCTAGTACTTGTCATACCAAAATCTCCATTGCAATACGCGTCTTGTGGATGAACCTTTGTCGGACACGCAGGACATGTGCAAGATGTTTCCAGCGAGTTCACGATGACTAAAATCACCAATGTCTCTGCAAATCCTCGGAGATCCATAATATCTACACTTGAAAATAGAAACAAAAGATTATTACGGAATCAGCTTTTAAAAGAACTTTCAATATGTGTATTTGAAAAAGTGGTAGAAAAACCATCAGCATTCAAATTACTGAAAATCGGTATTTTTACTTTTCAAAAATCGTGATATAAAATTTGTTAGTTCTACAGTGCAGTGACAGCTTACCTTATCTGATGTGAGACAACAAAATGCTTTTCGACAAGTCATGAACCACTGCTTTTTATGTAGAAATGTTGTCATCAAAGATGTATTAGCTAAGAAATGAACGTTTGATGTGTTGAAATCGCGATTTAGCAATATTTAACGACAAAACGATACATATCTCAAACATAAAGAACACGTGTTTACAAGAAATATTCATCATTTGTACGCCAGACGTACATCGTTGGAAACAAAAATCAATCACCCGACTTATGTACTTTTAAGTGCAATAAATCAAAGATGTGACATTGATGGTATCTTTTGAATTTCCGTTCAAAATCGAACTCGGCATCTAAAGAGAAGAACTAGCTGATTGGCTAATACTCAAAGCCGAGTCTGTGCGAAGTAGCAATATTACAAGTTTAACATTAAATTTTTGACTCGAAAGATTTGTCCCTCTGTATATTATTGTAACGGACTTGATGGGCTATTAAGAGCATCCATCCTGAAGATAAGGCAGAACGATTTACAACACAACAACACTAATCAATTGGTAGGTGCTTTAGCAGTTTAAGTGCGGAAAATTAAAAACATAAGATATTATCAACTGATTTATCACACTAAATAAATGCATTTACAAAAAATATTCTCTGGCAAACATGACACAATCTACATGTTAAATTATATAGTGAACGTAGGAATTACCCTGCATTTTTTTTTTTTTTTCTTTTTTTTTGTTTTTCTCTTTCGTCCAGTGCAGAAATGCAATCACAAATAAAATTAATGGATAAAGTCTAAGGGCTCCATACATGCTGAAATTTTCTGATCTTTTTTTATAATTGTGAACCTTTGATGGAGCAATCAATGAAAAATGTAAGCTTACAGATGGCGCTGGTAGTATCCTGTTCTTGTTGAGTACAATCGCGCTACTGAACAGACAATGAAATTGAGGTCAGGTAGCTCCATGACAACGCCATTTATGACACCATTGTTTGTGCTACACAATAATTCTTCTCGCAGGTTTGACGAAGAAATGTCAGCATCGCCATAACGTTCTCATGGAGAAATATAATGTATCTTTTGTGCTGTGCATGAAGCTGAAAGTGGTTGATGTAAGTGACTTTACCTAATGGTTGTTGTTTACCTTGCTCTCATTTGGGATCGTAACATTACTTACTTGAACTGACCAAGATTTACATAGCTTGTATAGTCGATGAAGCAGAAGACGCTTACCCTTCCGAAACACTTAGTGTTATTGTCTTCGTACTCTTCAGGAATCTCCGTGTATATTTTACTTTTGTTCGTATTTTTTTTAGTGTTATCGTATTTGTGAATGAATTATGATTCCGGTAAGATGTCAGTATTGTATTGGTTGTTTTAGTCATAACGAGTTGCATTCACTGTTAATCTTAACATTAATGGGATATCTTTCATACTGTCATAAATATTCATTAAACTGTGAAAATGTATTAGTTTTATCTAGCATTACCAGGAAATAATACTATCAACTTTCGGTAGAATAACAACGATGTCGTTACGTGAAAATGTCTCCTGTTTTATAATCGTCTGCTTCGCTGGCTGTATTTGACAACTGGTAAGAGGTTTGGAATAACATCCGGTATCATATTAACAATTTTAGAATCAATACGTAATGAAGTGTGCTTGTTTATAGTCTTGTTTACGTGTTATGAGCAAAGTCACTCTTCAACATTAGATTCCGCAGCGCAAGGTTTGCATCAACAAGATAACTGCAGATTACGGAGTGTATTTCTCGAATGCGTCACCGGAGGACGTGTACGTACTTAAAATTAAATGAATTTTAGCATTTCCAAGATTGTAAGATCTTATGAAAATAATTTCAAGAATCATCTTGAGTTCTTCTTTTAATCTTAGTCTGCCATTTAATAGCTAACAAACTTGTATCAAAAATTTATCTCGTCGGATTCTGCAGTTTTCTCCATTAGTGAATTAATCAGATAAGCGTAATGTTAATGGAAGACAGCACTCATTAAATGATTGACATTTTTCTTGCTATTTGGTTTATCCGTTTTGTATGAGTAATGCTGTTAAAGTCAGATTAATCATTAGTAATCTTTTGTACACAATGTATTAGTCAATCTGCAAGGGTTTGGTACGAGTTTTCCTATTACATTTTTTTTCATTTTGCACTCATTCAATACAATTTTTGTAAAGTGAAATGCAAAAGACATTGAACCAATTAAAGAAACACAATGTCCTTGACAAAATTAAAGTGAATTGTATTTTTCTAATGTAGCAATAATGTTAAACGCTTAACACTTACGTGGCAGCCGAACTCCAAGGATAGCTTAGAGATTTTAATTTGCAAAATATTTAAAATACTCAAATTGTAGTTGACAAACACAAAACATAAATGACTGATAGCTTATAAAGAGATTGAAAAATCAGTCAGCTTAAAAACGAAGAACAAAAACGTGAACAGGATAATGAGCGACAGAAAAATAGAATCACCAGGTGAAACGTGGAGGAGGTTAATAGAGCTTCCTCTGTTCAGATCAACGTAGACTACTGTGATCCAGGTAGACAGCAGTTTGTAAAAACTTCATGCTGAAAGTTACCGTAGCTACCAGCCACACATTACATTTAAAGGAGGACTTTTGAAAAACGTGTAAGGAAAACACGCGTCCTCTGTCCTCCAAGTAAATCTATTTCTAGACAACATCATGTCACAAAATGATGGTTGTTTAATTGCTCTTGGCCCATCCTGGCTTGTTTACAAAGAATTCTCTACTTGAACTAAAACTACTGTTTTGTCATCTATGGGAAATAGAACTGCACCCTAATGCAGGCCTGAAAGCTTTGGAGAAAACAGAATGTATTATTAGATCACAGTTTTTAAAGTATCACTATCTCATAATAAACACAAAAATTAGTATTATTGATCATTCTGAATTAGAGGCCAACGAAAATGACTGTAACAATGAAAAAAGACGTCCTTTTGTATAAAAATTACCGCGACCACAAATAACGGACGATGCCATGAACAACAATGATGAATCTTACATGTAGAAACAAAACATGTTTTCATTTTTATTTCTGCTCATCGAAGTGCATCCTGTTTACAATCCTATTGAAGGTTGGTCTCGGCAAACAAAAACAAAAACCGGAGATTTTAAACGCTTCGGCTGCTCAGACTAATACACATTCAGGTCAACTAATTGAAGCAAATCTGTTGAATCCAATAAATATCTCTCCAAATTCCTACAACAAGCTACTAATACCCTTAATGATTAGATTTCCACAGATTTTTTCGACAAATGCCACGTCAACGACGGTGTAACGATGTCAAACTTACATGAATATGACCATAACCGTAAACACCGTTTTCTTTAAATCTTCAGAACAATTTCCCTTGTGATACATTTAATAGACAAATCAAACAAAGTTATTACGTTAGACTAAAGTTGAGTTCTTTCAGATAAATATCACACGACTAAATGTTGCCGATAAATCTCCATTTTGTGGACGATTTTGTCCGCAAAGTTGCTTCGACTATGCTGAGAACTATAATGCGTTACTGCAAAAACAGCTGGGTTTTTTTCTCTGACGTCACACCACATCAGATAGTCTAAAGTGCATGTTGTTCCATATACAAATGTATCAGAATTTCAGTGGTAAAATGAAAGTGAATAATACTGTAAATACAAGATTTTACTTTCTTAAACACTGAACATTAATTTTTTTCTGCTAAATTTATTTTTCAAAATGTTATTAAGAACAGGCTCTGGAAATTCATTTATCTTCAGTTTTTTACAGATTACCGTCGTTTTGGCAATATCTTAATTAGCAAACTTAGTATTAAACTGGCTATATGGTGCAACTGAGTTCATACTGTTTTAGTGTATATAATTACACTATGCATCAAAAGATATTTGTATCTATTTTGTAAATTCTTATAACAATCAAGCTTTTTGATTAACTTTCAGCTTAGATTGTAACAAACCTATTTTCCAACCATTGATTTAACAATGCACAGACGATGCTCTACTTGAGGGTTTTATCCTGATGTGATGATTACTCCAATAGTTTATTTATAATTATTGATGAAAAGAACAAAAAATAAAGAGTGGGGGAGGGGGATGTTAGTTGAAGGGAGTTATGGGGAAGTGTTGCATACATGGAGATTTCTATGTACATTTCTACGAAAAATGTTGATATATTGATATATTGCGGTATTTCAGTACTTTTACAACTTTTTTCTCAAATATTTCCCTACCAATTCATTGATAAGATTTCATGAATTTGTCGTTATTGATCTTAATTTTCAGTAAAGATATTATACAGTTTATGTCTTTTGTTTAAATTCCTGCTTTATAAACATTGCTAATAGCGACTATTTACAGCACTAAAACGGCTCAACAAGACAGGATCTTCTCGTGACAGTGTTGTCCAAAAAGCAAGCACATCGAAGCAATAAACTGTATCACACATCTAAAATGTTGTTATGGCAAATCATAAGGACTCATTCAAACATCCGGTAACATGATATCTAAATCACGAGGCAAACCAAAGTAAATAACATGTTAACATTATCACAATCCAAACTAGGGCAAAATATGAACAAAAGAATGTTTGACACGTATCTCAAGGAGAAAAGTACAAGCATAATAAAACCATATGTTTCGGAAACTTGCTGTACATTTCATGAGTGCGCACTCGTGAAAATACTGAAATATTAGACACATGAGTAATGGAGACACAATGGAATATTCTATTTATTACATTTTCACTAATGAAATAGCCGAATTACTGACATATTTGAGAACTGAATATAAAAGGAGAAAGCTGCCTGGGCTTTTGGTGGAAACTATTCACTCATTATAACTTCGCTGTACGTGACACAAGATAATCCGTTTTGTAAACACAAAAATAAACTTTGATATAATATTATTTTAATATTCACATAGAAAATGCTACTTATTCATCTATCAAACAGAGGCACGTTTCTGTAAATGTTCGCAGAGTTTAACCTAGGACAAGTTACTCAGCCGCTGAAAATATGCCGACAACCTACAGATTTTGCTGTTGACGACAGGAATTCTCTTGAAATGTCTAACGTGTTGGCTCCACATTAATAACGTTTGGTTGGAGATAGGGATTGATATATATCTGATAAAGTAATTTATGCTGCATTGTTTGCTGAATTTCATGGAAAAGAAAGTTTACCGTGGAATTGAATGTCGTGCTACAAGTAAACAACGCCTTCAGGTTTTTGGTTTTTGTGATTTGTTTGTACCGGGCTTTATTATGCGTCAGTTTTATAAGATGATATATATTCTTTCTTTTCCTTAGTGCAATTCTGCAAAAGTGTTGTTTTTTATAGTAAAAAAATCAGAAAGTTATGTTTCACTAGTGAAAAATAACACTTTTATCATTGGGATATTTCCCTATATTTCACTGGCAAAAAATGTGATAAATAGTAATTTCCACATTTCCAGTGGTCTCAGTAGAAAATCTTTGTTTAATTCAGGTATGGGGTATGATATATCCACTCTTAAACAGAACTACGATTTTACCATGTTGTTTTTATTGGTGTTCTTCTAAATGACATGACTGCACTAACGTTTAACTAGAGATCTACTTTCGAGGTTACGTGACCTAAAATCAAAGTGTACATCTTGGTTGTGACCGTTGACCATTACTGCAAACTGTTGGCTTATAATGTTTAAGTAAAGATAATGGTTAATGTGATATGATATAAAGAAAGATTTGGTTGTACATACGATACAATAGAAATCGTTAGCATTTATCTCCCCTTGACCGATATACCAAAGAAACATTGGTAAGAAGATATTTTCGCTCGACATGGTCATTTCATATTTCAACAATCTTTCGTTATATTTCAATACTTCGTTTAAGTATCGTTATGTTTGTTTGGCAGAATGAAAGACGCTTGATTATGTTCCAAATTATTTGTTCCTCTCAGAACGAGTTTAGTATGGCATTTTCAGCGATATGTCTGGAATCCTTTTAGTGTAGCACATGTATAACCTTAAAAAAACAATTGTAACACAAGTCATAGGGAAATTCTTCAGCGTATTGACCACTAAAACACAGAACTTTAGAGATGTATAGCTTTATTGGTAAAGCTCCAATTTGAGGTTTGCTCTGTATAATCAAACTATGTGCTTTGACTGCTGCCAGAGATCAAGGATTGCCATTGCTGAGACATGGTGTGAATGACTGACTTTGTTTCCATTTACATTCAGGTGCACAACCAGTTTTGGTAAACACTACACAGGTAGCATACTTGCAGTAACAATCCTCATTCAAAAGTGGATCTACTTGACATCTGCCAGCACCAACCTGTTATGAAATGACGTAAAGAAAATTAAAAATATTAAGATGTGAAAGCTGGGTCTATTTGCGAGCACCAAGGTGGTAAGGTAGTACCATGTCAAATGTCGGAAACGGCATCAAATACAATTGAAGAAATGTATTGATAGTGATTGAGCGACCAGCAGAAATACTTATCGTCTAAACGTTGAAACGTTATCGCTACAATATTCCTTTTCATACAATAGTAAATAATTTTCAGTTAGCAAGCACTGTAGTTGATATTCATTAGCATACTTGTAAAAGTTTACTCTTTCAACAATTTATCGTATCAAACAGCAAAAAATTCGGTCGTTTGAATTTAACATCTTATAATCGAATATTTGGTGTTATTATTCCGATTTCCTACCTACCTCGCATTGGCAGTTTTTCTCATACCGCTTGTTGATGCCAATTTTCATGTGACTTGTAACGTTACCCCAAAACACGTGTAGACCACAAGGGTCGACTATGAGCTCACCTTCATCATTGCTACCTGCAATGTGGGGAAAACACTTAAACTATCTGTATTACAGAAAATGATAATTGCTTATTAATTTCCCCGAAGAATTACGTTTGAACATTCGTATCCAGTTTTACCACGCTTCATTGTAGTAAATTAATTTTCTCTGAGTGATTTTTTCGTGTATTTCCAGGCAATGCTGATTACTCGAAATCCCTGAACGAGTGAGTGAAGTTTTCATATCTTATAGATCAGTGATGTAACAAGCACGATGCATTATAGAACTTGCCTTCTAAACAAATTTGTTTACAGAGGCGTTTAATGTTTACCCTGATAACATCTTAATTTTATCACAACACGTTCCAAACGTAACCTAAATGATGAAAGATATCAAATGTCGAGTATTGGTTAATGAGAAACCAATGCATTCTCTCATTATACAGTTGTAGTACAATTCAACCATGCATAAAATAGTGTCAAATATCTTATCAACATCAAATGTCAGTGAAGCGCTGTTATAAGATTGTACGAAAGACACACAAGTGAATAGCACCTTTGAATAGAAAGTTAGATGGAGTTAGATGCAGTGGAGCCAAACAAGGAATTATCTTGTATTGTACACTGAATCGTCCTACTAGGACTCATCAGTGGTGTTCAAGGCCTACATGTTGACGACTAGGAGGAGATTGAGGAAAACCCATAATAGAAAAATAGAAGACAGCTCTTTGACATGTAAAACTATATTCCATTAACAATGAAAACTGGCAAATTCATTTGCTAATAAAACTATTTATTATTAATGTCGATAACGTAAGCAAATTGACAAAAGCTTAAACTTAAAAGAGAATTGAGATATTATCATAACATGACTATTGATGAAATCAATAGGAATCATTTGCATTAAAACCTTGTTATATGCCACTCATTTTACCTCTTATAGTACTTTGACTAGAATACATAATGTAGAGGATACCATTTACAATATACGTTTCCGTACATGTTTTATTTCGTTAGTTTGGTCGAAGGAGGCAAAGTAATGGTTTAATCAAAGAATTCGTGCAAGAGCATATATACCGTTATGGATACAAGTTCGCATTTTATGGTGAACTTTACTTTTGCCAACAGCTTGACATCTAATCCTTAAATATTCAATGTGCCTGTATTTATTTATGAAATTGATCCTTTCGTCTACACATCGCGTGACAGACAAGTGTTTTTATGTCTTAAGAGGCATCTCCTTTCGTCGAAGGCATTTACTTTTATTTCTAGATTATTTTTCACTACAATTTAAAGTTATAATGTTTGAGCATTATGGTAAGTATCATAAGTGTTTTTTTAAATCGATGAAGAAAAAGATACTGACCACTGATTAGGAATGTCTCATCTAACGTAAGTCCCACGCCACAAGGCAGGGTGTCTCGTAGTGTCCATACATATGAATAGCAGCCCTCAGTCACATTTCCCTGTAAACAAAAATTAATTTCTGAAGCACAAGTGAGGGTTTAGGTTAGTTAAAAACAAAATATAGTGTAGCATGCATTTAACATTTTTACAGTTTTTTTTTCTAATTAATGAAACAACCCAAAATATTCAGATTGGAAAATGTCATTTTTGAATATATGGGAGGAAAGTTTATCTAGTAATTTTTCCCCAGTAAACATCTCGGTTATAAAATTGATATGAGATCCTTAGTCTTCAATAAGTCAGTTCCTTTTACTTCCTTGGATTTCATATAGCCTTTACTTGGTAAAGGTCAGCTATGAAGAATGCAATTTTCTGCAGTGAAATATGCTTTTAAATATCGCTAATTCCTTTTTTTTCAGGGATCTTGCGTATAGAATGGGTAATTTAATGAAAAAAAGTTGTCCTTGCTGAGACAATAAACCAAAATCGGTTCAAATCAAGAACACGCAAAGGTATGAAAAAGACAAACCTTGTAGACTTTGTCAACAAAAACTTTGTATTGGTCTTGTGGGTCGTTGTTTGCTGTGAGGGGATCATCGTCGAAGTATGTCAGATCAGCCACGGTTGCCTTGATCACTGGTAATTTATCAACAACATGGTATTTAATATTTTGGAGTATCAAAACACTTTCCATGGAACATTTTTCATTGAGCAAACTAAACATTGCTACTTCTTATTTGCAACTTACCAAAATCTGCAGCACAAAATGCTTCCTGTGGATGAACCTTGTCCGGGCATATCGGACACATTCCAGATATTTCAAATATGTTGAACAGGGAAAGTATAACCACTGTCAGCAGAATTCCTCGGGTATCCATGTTTAAATACTAGAAAGGTAAAGGAAGAAATCACATTGAAAACAAGGCAGTAACCGGAGTTTAGTGTCAGGGATTTACAAAGAGTTCCATTTTGTATAAAACAATCATTTCGAAAATATGAAGACGAATAGCATTGTTTGGCTTTATTATCCTCTATATTGAACACCTTTTAAAATACTGTTAGTCGAAAACAGCTTATCATTAAAACCTTATAGAAATTAAATAAGTATTGATATGATCTTACTTATTCTTATGTTAATGACTATAGTGACCATACAGCAATTGTTCAGGGTACATCTTGAATAAGTTAGATGATCTTACCACACAGGACCATTGTAAAGATTTATTAGCCTACAATTATACAATTGAATAACAATTTAAGACGTATGCTGGTATGCCAGCTGCGAGTTTGTTTAATTCATATAATTCATAATGCCATAGTCACTATAAGTAGTAAGATACACAACGGTTAGATGATTTGTAGTTGCTAATGTATTGTGGAGCAAACACTCGATAAAACCACGGTGTCCTAACTGGATAGTTCTTGATTTTATATACAATGTAAAGTAAATAATATTATGCTAAATGATGCGGAATCTAAAACAAAAGCAAATGACTACTACAACAGTGTAACGAAACTGAATGTAGTTTCCGACCGATATCAGCGGAACTTGGCAGTATATGTATCAAGTATTCATTTCCTGGTGTTACTTTGATAAATCCTGCTAGCGCTTTTTTTTATTAAATTAAAAACGCAGATTTCATGTATTGTACATAATATAGAAATACTTGTTACCGGTTTGCTTGTAATAGTAATAAAAATAACTAAAAACCCTCAAATTGCGTCTTTAACACGAATGAGAATTTGAATGACAATAAGTTGTATTACCAACAATACTTTGAAAGAAATGGATACCAAATAACATATATGGCATAATAGAAACAAAAAGCACTTGCACTCGTTTGTTTCAAATAACTTAGATACAGATATTGTAAAGAGATCGGTTTTGGAATTCATCAACATGTCTGAAATTTTAACTGTGCGATATATTTACAAAATACCAAAATATACAGACCTGCTCAGTTCTGTAGATGAATCCATTGTCTAGAATATTATTACTGTTTTGTTCTTATACCAATTTAAACAGAAATATCTTTAAATCAAAAAGATCATCGGCAAAGTTTTACAGAAAACCTTTTTTATGTCCTTTATAAGAACATGTATGATTTGTGCTCTGTACACGAATATACTATTTTTTCAGTAAAGGAAAGTTTTCTTCCATTGGTTATGAGAGGTTTCTTTTTCAAAGCAGCCAGTACGGCACATTCAAAATGTGCATCTCATGCCGTGATAAAATAGCCAGAGTATGGAATCGTAAAGAAACAACTCGAAAAGTTCACTAATTTTGCTTTTAGATATATTGATAATGTCCAGATTTGAAGTAACAGTTAATAAACCATAACCATTGTATGTAACCAAACGAACAGGAATTCAAGGACACGATCTAACATTGTGTGTCATTCTCTCCATAATATGCAATAAGCAGAGGAACTTTTCAACTTAGTTTTATAATGAACGTCACGATGTATACGGGCTTTTGTGAATTTCTATTTTCCAGATAGTGACAACCGTGTTCTCAAGTATACGGTATTTACACAACTAAGTGTTTTCGCCTTTAAACAGCGTAATTGTTTCCAATATGAATATTTCAATTAAACATGTCCACCGATGACCTTTAGACTCAGATTTGATCAGGACTACTTCGTAAAGTCAATTATCATTTCTATAGGAATCACCCAATTTCCCTGTGCGATAGTAAGTTACGTACAATCGGTGCTCGCTAATATGCAAAGTTCTTTCGCTGTTATTACCTTTCTTAGATTGACAAGATATAGTGAACATAGGGAATCAAAGAAACAAAGTGCGTTTACTGTTATTTTTAGTATTATAAAAATGTTTCTTTTGTTTATATATCTTGTTCATATATCTTGTTTATATGTTTTAATATCATTTTACAAAGAATCAAATAAAGGCGTTGACCAAGACAATAATAAGGCTGATTACAAGTGGTGGATACTAAATGGTTTAAAAAATACCAGATTCGGGTTAAAGTCCGGATGTTTCATTAATAAAATAGCACCTGACGGCAGCCCATACAAGTTGTCCGTTTCGATGGTCTTTTGTTTATGAGTCACTAATTCAACAGTAGAGTTAGCCTTTCATCAAACAGACTATCGTTTATTTGAACTGAAGTGCAAATGTCAATAGTAGGTATCAACTTTGAAAAATACTTCTCGAAAATCGGCAATATACGTGTGTACCGGTAAGCAAAGGTCTAACAATGATTTGATTGTGATGATTACTTTCTCCTATTTAGCGGTACTGCCACTATGACTCATCGCAACCTACGCGGTAATCCATCTCTCCCGGAAAAGTTAGTATGACTTTAGGAAACGATTCAACAAAACGAAAAAAACAAAACAAAAAAAAAAACAAAAAAAAAAAAAAAAAAAAAAAAAAAAAAAACAAAAAAAAAAAAAAAACAGATCATAAGAAAGCGTTTTAGTATTTGGAAATAAAAAAATGTGTACTTACCTTTTTCAGAATGTAAAATGCATTCAGATGTTTGAAATCATTACTTTTTATTCAAGAGGTGTCATCAAATGTGTATTAACTATTCTTTTTGAGGTTGAATGTGTCAAAACATTAAGAATGTTTATATGAGACTAATATCCTACTTAGATACCAAACGATACATTTCCACAAACATAAAACACACGTGTTTTATTCTTAAAAATGCCATTTATTTTTCCAACATTTAATTTTCAGAAATGAAATAAAATAATCAATGACAATAGGAAAGCATCGGACAAATTTCCCCGCTGGAAATTCTCAGGAAATGTGGCAATTATATTTATCATGTTATTAGTGCGATTTCATACCACTGTACCTTTACTGTTATAGGCACATTGTGAACGCATTATTGTCAAGAGGTTATTGATTCGAAAGCAATAGAGAAATAAAATGTTTCTAATTACAATAAATGGGTAAAACTATCAAATGACAGCAGAAGTCAACACATTATGAGTTCACAGAAAAAAGGTACTTTACTTTGTGCTGATATCAACTGTAAATATGCAAGCGATTTCATCGTTCAGCAAGTCATGATGTGGATTTTACTCGTTAGCTTTTGGTTTTAATATAATTCACGACCATTTAAAACCTTTGATGATATTATTGCCAGTCAAATTTAAGTGATTCAAAATATGAACCGACTTTAAAAACAGGATATTGCTGTAAAACAAGGCTTCAGATTTAATTACTGATTATGTTGTATGGGTTTTGTCAACCAAATAAACATCCTGTTACCATATTAATCTTCCTTTAATGTCCGTGATTGAAAACAGATATCCATCCTACCATTATCCATTGCATGTTGAGGGATATTGCAATAGCGGGGGTCTTAAAGAGAGGTACATTCTTAAAATCTCTCAAAAGAGTGAGTACGGTTTGACTGCTTCACACTTTTGATAGCTTGGAACTTTATAATGAATGACGTTCACGTTAAGGTATAATTTGACTGACCAATATTGATAGGTAGATTTTCTCGTATCGTCATGGCTTGATGACTTGATATGACTTGTCGCAAGTTGTCGACATATAATTAACACTAAGACCATAAACATAAGTACAGTTTTATCTAACACCGGAAATACTTACAATTTAACAAATCCAAATAAATGTATATCAAATCGTGACCAATTATATCATACATGTATCATTTGCCTTAAAGACATAATGGTCTAATTGGGAAATATCATAGTTCCTATAACGATTTGAGATTGGACATATGTTATGTTCATTGGTTCTATTGTTTCTTACCTTGTTTCGATTAGGAACCTGCCACTTCTTACTTGGATTGGCTATGATTTACAAGGTTGGTGTCGATGAAGCAGAGAACATTTACCTGTCTGGAACACCTAGTATCATTCTCCTGTTACATTTTCAGGAGTCTCGGTGTAAAGAATTTGTGTTTTGTTTATGTTTTGATCTATGGTCATCGAATTTGAGATTGAGCTAAGTTCCTTTGAACGTGTTAATATTTTCTTTGTTGTTTTGGTATCTTTATATTTACTCTCTTTTCTTAAGATCTTTTTTCTTCCTGTCCTCTTTGCCAATGCCTCACGTGTGACCTTCAGTTGAGTGTTCGCGCTGTAAGAAAGGCTTTTGGCTCTGTAGGCCTGTGGAGACATACCTGAGGCAGTAGATATGGTAATTACTACTCCATGTTTAGCGTTGAGCAGTGTGGTAGTGTAACGACTTGTTTGCCCGTTGTCCTGCATGGGACCTTCGTCAGTATATTTCAATGTGGCAGCACTATAATGTAGGCTTCAGAACCACGGTGTCGCTAGAAGCTCAGAACGAATATATCGCTGCACCGTCCTCCTCTAAAATAAATCTCTAACTCAACACACCTCTTTACTCACACGATGGCAGAAAATTCTTTATCAAATGACAATATTTGTTAATAGGATGTTAGATAATATAAAGAAAACTTAAACACGTATCATGTTTTTATATTTCACATCACTTCAGAAAACACTGTGAATATTACATTTTCTCCTGTACTGTTCATACTTAGGTACTTAGTGCAACACTCAATCAGTGACTTTTTTTTGGAATATCGAGACGCGTTTCGTCAGCTTCATTATGTGAAAAAAATATGGTCAAGTATTTGGCAAAATATATATCATTTGAAACTGTTATAAATCTTCAGTAACACGTTTCTTCTGTTTGACGGATAAGGCACTACTCGGCAACATTAACATGTAAAGAACACTATCACTTCAACGTCTTGGTCGATGGAGCAACACAGGAATCATGTGTTGACTTAGAGTTGCTTCCCTTTGTCAATAATTAATTTTTAATTTTGATACATAGAGATAGTAATTACTTCACAAACCACTGCTTTATTATAAGATCATAGATAGATCTGACT